TAACACACCGCTACAACAACGACGCAGAATTTGCGGTTTTGGCAAGAATGATCACATCTTTGGCTTTTGTACCGATAAACAATCTAGACGAAGCCATTGATGCGTTAGCGGAAACTTTGCCGTTGGAACTTCAACCTGTTTTGCAGTGGCTCGAGGATAATTACGTTGGACGACCCAATCGAAGAGGAAACGGCAGGAGAGCACCCATTTTTCCTCCAGATATGTGGTCATTGTTTGACAGAGTGTTAAATGATAACGATCGGACAAATAACCACGCAGAAGCAGCGCATCGGAGGTTACAAGTAGAATTAGGAATGGATCATTCAAGTATATGGAAATTTATCGATGCATTGAGAAACATTCAAAGGGGACGAGACATCGAGTACGAACAACTGTTAGCGGGAAGGCCACCCCCAAAGAAACTCAAAAAGTACCGTGACGCCGACGCAAGAATTAAGAGATTAGTTTTAGATTTTCAAAATCGTAATATTATTGATTATTTAAGAGGCATTTCATATAACTATGAAATGAACCCCTGATGTTATTGTGCATTATTAAAATATTAAAGGTTATGGGTATTCTAGTTACTACATTTTATGTACCGTAAAACGGGGTGAAGCGGATATGGTGGAGTTTAGCGGACCACTTGAACAACGCATCACATAAAATGAAGCGCAATCTATACGTGAAAAGTTGAACACTCACAATTTGCCTAATTTTACTTAACACAAATCTTGAGTGGTGCTACAGAAACCTAACCTATACACCTGTTGATTTTGTTGTAGTACAGTGGTTTAAGTAAAACATTATTTTATACCTAAATTTTGTTAACTGTGAAACAAACTATTGGTGAAAGTTATTAAGCCATCGGAAAACATAAGGTAAGTAATTTTATAATCCTGGATACCATTAGTTACAATCGCCATTTCAATTTCATTTTTTGTAAGTATAATGACCTTCCTATAGGTTATTTTGTAACTTCATGTGAGACGCCGGGGTGACGGGGATCATGCCGCGAAAATATATCAAGAAGATTGGTCCGGAGGGAAACCGGAACTATAATATTGTAACGTTATTTATAAATTCGGGTTCGATTTATATCAATATTTATTAAACAAAACTAAAACACTATAAAATCCGTACAATTTATATCGATTATTTATATCACACACTTCGAAATTTATATCAGCTTTTCGCGCTCTATGTTTCGTCCGTACTCGATCTCGTTCGATAGTAGACTCCCGCGATGTTCGGTCCGCAACCATTTATACACGCAAGCAATGGAAGTCCCGAACATCCGCGTACATTCTCGAATATTCCTACAAATTCCACTATCGCGCGCGTAGAAAATTCCAGAGCGCCAAAGGCGACGTCATGTCTGGAGCATTTCCGTTACAATATTGAATATTTAAAAAGGGCGGTCAAAGACGTTAAGAGTAAAAAATGTTCACTTAGGGAGGCATCTGCCACGTATGCCGTGCCGTAAACCAACCACCCTCCAAAGGTGGGTAAAAAACAAGGATTTGGGGAAATATGGCGGACAGACTCTATTAAGGGAGACGGAAGAACAATTTCTCGTTGAAGGGCTATTAGAGTGCGCTCGATGGGGATTTCCCTTCCAAAAAATTGATATTTTAAATATTGTTCAAGCATATTTAAATAAACGCGGAATCACGCACAAACGATTGAAGGACAATCGTCCTGGAGAAGATTGGTTTAAAAATTTTTTAAGCCGACATAAACAATTGACTTTAAAATTTTCCGAAAACATTAAACGAGTTAGAGCTGGCGTATCAAAGACCACACTTTCTGACTATTTTAAAAATCTGCAAACAACCTTACAAGATGTCCCAGTTTCGAACAGTAAACTATGACGAGACCAATTTTACAGATGATCCTGGTGCTGTGAAAATTGTTGTTAAGCGAGGAGTGAAACACGCGGAAAGAATTATTGATACATCCAAGAGTAGTACAAGTGTCATGGTAGCGGTTGCTGCTGATGGCAAGATACTTCCTCCATACACGGTCTATAAAGCCAAACATCTTTATCCAGGTTGGACAGAAGGCGGCATAGAAGGCTCGGCTTACAATAGAAATACTTCTGGTTGGTTTGACGCATGCATGTTTGAAGATTGGTTTAACGTTATCCTACTCCCATATTTTAGACGACTAGATGGTCCAAAAATTATGATAGGAGATAAGTTATCTAGCCATCTAACATTGAACGTGATACAAAGTTGTATGCAAAATAATATTCGTTTTGTTTTACTCCCCCCAAACTCCACACACATGTGCCAGCCCCTAGATGTGGCATTCTTTCGGCCTCTGAAAGGAGCATGGCGAAAAGTGTTACAAGATTGGAAAAGAACAAATAGAGGAGTTGTTCCAAAGACAGTTTTTCCTCTTTTGTTGAAGAAAACATTTGAAGAAATTGGGCTCAATTCTGAAAAAAATGTGAAAGCGGGTTTTAAAGCTTGCGGAATCTCGCCATTTGACCCCGAAAAAGTGCTTAGCAAGCTTCCTAGTGTTGAAGACTCTAATCAGGTGGAAGAATCCTGGACAAACTCATTTGTGGAGCATCTCAGACAGTCTCGTGAAGGAGGTAGCGAAAATCATAACAAACGGGGTAAACGATTAACTGTTGCCCCAGGAAAGGGTATTATCGCTCAAGATCTTTTGGGTGAAGACGAGGACATGATCCAATCCGAACCAGAAAGTCTTTCATCATTGGAAGCAGAGGACGACACAGAGGCTAGTTCAAATGGTCAATTCAATAAGGATGATTTTGTAATTGTAAATTATCCAACCAATAAAACAGATCGCTGTTTTATTGGAAGAATTGAAGAAATGCTGCCTGATGAAAAGTTTGTTGTCAGATTTTTAAGAACACAGTTATCACGCAAGCAACATTGGTTTATGTATCCAAACGTGGAAGATGTGCGTGAAGTTGAGGCAATAGTTATTTGTATCACAAGTCCAGAAAATGGATGTTTGCGAGTGTGAGTAAGGTTGCAGGCCGAAGCGGAGCAGAGGCCTGCAATACGAATACTCGCAAAACATTTTTATGGACGTGTAATACACAAGATTTTTTGTGTCGAAGTAAAAAATTTGAGGGAACAACGTTCATTTTAAAATTTATATTTCTACCTCCTATAATAAGCCGTCATACTTGCATTCAAATTTCCAATATTTCGATGTTATGTTGGTAGCACAGACAGTTGGCAGTTGGTAGCACAAGCATGTCAATTCACAACCGATATTTACCAGTGTTTATTCCACATTAATTGTGATTAAATGAATAAACAAAGCATTTACGTTAATTTAATTATTATTACAAATGTCTAAAACGCTTAGCCCAGTCTTAAGAAGTTCATAACATTTAAAAGAAGCTGCGCTAAAACTAATAAGTAGTAAGTTGATTTCAATGGGAAACATAACCTTGAAATTTATTTCAATTTCAGCTAGTGCGTACGGCTTAAGGTGGATTTATAAACTTGACGTTCGCAGTTAACGTTGCCGTTGCCGTTTAGTTACCGTTGGAAGTTGGCAGTTCGTTTCGAATTGACATTTATAAAACTACGTTCGTGACGTTGTTGAGTTATTTGACCTCTTCATTCTAACTACTCAGTATGAAATAACTATTATAGTACATAACCTTAAAAGTATTTCGTTTATCATTTCATATAAATATTCACTTTTCTACCTTTAAAAATGGACGAGTATGATGTGTTGTTGGGTTTATCTGGCGTTTTATTACGCAGCAGCGAAAATAATACAAAGACGACCGCGGCGATTTAAAACTCGTCCAATTAACAGAGACCGTAAATTAACTGGAAATTACCGATACTACCAAAAATTGAAAAATTTGGATTCTCCTCAATTTTTCAAATACACTAGGATGAGCCTACCAATTTTTCAAAAACTGTTAGACATGATTAAATTGGACCTCCAAAAACAAAGAAGACGTGATACCATTTCTCCCGAAGAGAGATTAGTTATAACATTGCAGTAGGTGTTTTCATTATTTAATGTTGTTCTATTGTCTAAATCTTCAGATATTTATCTCAAGGCACAAATATGCAAGTGCTTGCATGGACATTTCATATAGGCTTACCTAACAACAGTGCATCAAATAATCCTTGAAGCATGCAACATTATTTGGGAGCGGCTGAGCCCACTGTACCTAAAATCCCCTTCTAGTGAAGCCGAATGGGAAAACATTGCAGATGGTTTCCTTCAGCATTGGAATTTTCCTAACTGTATAGGTGCCATTGATGGCAAGCACATCAATATTCAGGCACCTGCTCGCAGTGGGAGCTTATTTTATAATTATAAACATAATTTTAGTGTAGTGTTATTAGCAGTATGCGATAGTAAGTATCGCTTTACATTTGTTGACATTGGGGCATACGGCTCCCAAAGCGATGGTGGCGTTTTAAAGAATAGTGTATTTGGCAAATGTTTGGAAGAATCTACATTAAAAATTCCTAAACCGACAAGTTTACCCAGTAGTGAGGTTGTTTTGCCTTATTTTTTGGTAGGAGATGAAGCATTCCCTTTGAAGGAATACATAATGCGACCTTATCCGGGGCGCAACTTAAATGACCAGCAAAAGATTTTTAATTATCGTTTGTCCAGGGCGAGGCAGACGATAGAAAATACTTTTGGGATTTTGGTTGCAAGATGGCGATTGCTCAAAACCACAATAAATGCCAAAGTAGAAAATGTGGATAACATTGTTAAATGCATAGTCGTTTTGCACAATTACTGCCAAACAGAAATGTCCACAAGTACAGATTTATATTGTCCTCCGGGGTTTGTAGACTCGAGCGATTGTCCCAATGGAACCTGGAGAGAAGATGCACCCCTTCAATCTGTGGGAAGAACAGGTGCAAATATTGCCCGTAAAACAACTTACCAAAATAGGGACAATTTAGCTAATTACTTAGTGTCTAAAAATGGCGAAGTTCCATGGCAATATGACATGATCAAACAATCGATGTTACTTAAGTAATTTATTGTTAGTTATTTAATTTTTTTTTTACTTTTTGTACTACATCTAATATTATAAATTCTTAATCTTAAGCTTAAACTATGTTTTATACTATTCTACCTATTTACACCAATAATAAATTAATCTAAATCCTCTAAAATTTTTAACATTTTTTTTCGTTTTTCTTTGGCCTCTTCGGGAGGCATCTCCATTAAACGAGTAAAAACATACTCTGTAAAGGTCCGGTTTTGTTCAGGTGGTGGTGCAGCTGCCTTCGCCTGAAGAGTACTAGCAATTTGTTTCGCTGTATTTATCACCTCATCGAATTCCAGGCTTCGTTTCGATTTACTGCCTGCTTTAAATAACTTTTACATTAATTACAAAGAACACTGCAGAACATCACCTTTTTGGCTTTGTCGAGTTTCAGATGCATGGCTCGAGGTCCCACTAGCTTCTGCTCCTCTTTCCGGAGTAATGGTTTGTTCCATAATCTCCTCAATGTCGCCCTCCGATTGCGGTGATAAAATTGTCTCGATCCCGGACCACCCTGACGATCGGGACGATGTTCGGGATGAAGAGGGAGATCCGTCATGGACCACTGCGACTGTTGCAGTATGCGTTCTGAAAAAATTGATGGCTGTAGTACATTTCAAATTCAAGAGAGTTAGAAATTACTTTCTGGGCCGGGTACATTTACTGTAAAACGACATCTTTTCAGAGTACACCCAATTGGTGTCGCCTCCTCCTGAGCCAGATGGTTTTAATCTTTTCTCTCGGGTAAACCGGTCTCGTACGTTCTTCCACAGCTTCATACAATCTTCCACTAAAAGAAACGTCAAAATGAGTTCCTAAATTACAAAACATATGGTATATACGAACCACTGCATCTGGTTATTTCTGAAATCTCCTTCCATGCATCTTCCTTTTTTTTTGCGTTTTTGTACTCTTTGTGGGAGAGATCATACAAAAATTCATAATTTTGAATTAATTCAATTAGAAGACCTGTAACGTCGGTTTGGTCTGAAATTGTCGAAATTATGCATATGTGATTAATAAAATGGACACCTTACCTGCGTCTCCCATTGGAATTAATTAAATAAATAATTAAATAAACAATCAAACTTCTCTATTTATATATACATGATAAATGACAATACTGAATACACTGTAGTGTAGTTCTTGTACACCGTTATAAAGTAGGTCAGAACGGGTTAGAGAATGTCAATTTTTGGAAGCATCTTATTGGCTGGATGTTGAACGGCGAACGACGAACTTAAAAGATGGTCATGTCTTGAACGGCAGGAACGTTATCCGAAACTGCAACTGCAGCGGCAACGATGTTTATAAATAGCGCCATATAGTTACTTTAGGTTAACATTAAACGACGAACGGCAACTGAACTGCAACTGCGAACGTCAAGTTTATAAATCCACCTTTACACCTATTTTGAGAATTGGGTTGCTTTTCATTTGCAAATTGATTTATCATATTAATTCCATTACATATAAGAATGATAACAAGTTTGTTTGGATATCTACTTCTCGTTGGCTGTCGATTACGAGGAGAGCAGCAAGAGGTCCGATGATTGCTTCGTGCAAATCTACAATTTGGTGTATGCAGTGTCGTTTGATTATTATGGTCTTACTACACGGAAGTAACTGATGTCGGAAATTTTCATCATAGATAGGTATGAGCATAGATATCGACAAGAAGACCGTTTTCATATGCGTACACCTCCTTTTCGGAAACTGTCATCTTCAGAGAAATATACTTGCTTGTAGATATATAATTTATGGAATAATGTATACAGTTTAATGTTAACAATGGCAGAAATAATAATAATTACAAAACATATAGTGTCGTTACCTACTCTTCATCCGTTTAGTGTTGTGTTTTTTGACTGCGTTAATTTACATGCGAAACCATTTGTTGGCATTCCTGGCATCGAGTGTGGAAGTAGGTAAACTTCAATTTCCTATACTTTCAATTAGCTCTCTGTTTTTTGCCATAAACCGTAAGTTTACCATCGGTAAACATGTATAAGTGTCATAACCGCACTAAACGAAAACTTGTAAGTGAAACTTACAATTCTTGATTAGGGTAAAAATTGTTTTATTGATCCGCTTCACCCCTTATTAAGGTTGAAGTGATTTTCAGTGATATAAAATAGGCGATCCGCTTCACCCCAAAGGATCAGGAACAAAGTTTGAAAAAAAAATACTTACTGATAACCGGTGATATCAGTTTTGCATAGACTAAAGAACGACACTTCACCCAAGCTATATAATTTTTTTGAGAATTTTAGATTTGAACTGAATGTCCAAAATGCATATAAACCAATTATTTTGATCCGCTTCACCCCATTTTACTTTCTATTCATTTAATATTTGAATAAAAAGTACACGTATCAAATTATCCTACGCCAAATCGGCTCGCGCCAAATCGTCTCGCGCCAAACAGGCCTGCGCCTAAATGGCCACGCCAAAACGACGGCGGCAAAACGGCCGCGCCAAAATGTCCTATACCGATTTCTGCTTGCCGTACTGCCAAGGTTGCTTCAGCTAAGGTAAGATTGCTTTGTAGCTATAGCCTCTCACTAAGTCGTGTGTCTAGAATACCAACTACAATTCTATCCCTGATAACTCGTCCCTCAAAGTTCCGTAACTGCAGTGTTCTGCTAGGCTATGTAAAGGCTCACCTGCTTTCTGTGTTCTTGTGTTAAATTTGAATCTTTCAAATATAAACGTTCTTCTGTGGTACAAAGTAATCTTCAAATCGAGCCAAGACGGTCTCAAAGTTTTGTTGATCTTCCGAAAGTTTGAACTGAATTAAAATTTCTTCGGCTTCCGGTCCCATCAAATATCATACTATATCAGCATATCGACCTATTCTTTGTCTGATTTGTTACCAAAACCACTGACAGACATGTATCTCTCCAACCTTTTCCTCCAGTGCGACCATCCTGCGGATTGCGCGAAGGTAAATTCTGCGGGAGACGCCACTGTCGCAACACTCGGCGCCGCCGTCGACGGAACTATAGCCACTTGCCGACTTTCCTCCATTTTGTCCACCACTTCCAAATCTTCTTTTTGGCGAGAATTCTTTACTCGTGAAAGTAACAATCGCAATTATTACCTCCAAAAACCGCTGCCACCATGTAGTATCACGTCCCAAAAGTCGCAACCTCTCTGGAAAGGCGATACCAAGTATTCTGAATAAAGCTAGTTCCACATCGAACGTAAGCGTAATCAGAACCATAATCATAAAGTTCAAATGCCTGAAATATATGTCCTTTGCTACATGGAGTTACGCTTATGATTACGGTTATTGGGTGACCTTCATCACACATAACTTGTAAAATTGAGTTCAAATTTTTCAACTTTGTGTTTCTGATTATGTAAAAAAGCTTATAGCGCATGCTCGCATTCGTCAGCTGATTGTTTATAACCTAAATCTATTTTATGTTTTCAATTTCAAGGTGCCACTTTTACTCAAAATAAACCGCTATTTAGTCTAAATAATTTGCTTATTGCTTGTTTAGTGTATAATATAAAAGAGTATGTCTGCGTCTGCCCTTGAGACAATAGATGTGGAATTTAAGGGTCGCACCCACCATCGTCTTTTCTTAACTCCATTACCCAGAGTTGTTTTATTTCGATTACGAGTGTACAATAGCAATGTTAAGCAAAACGCATAATCATCGTTTGATGTGCAACCGCCTTAAAAGTCGCTGCTTTGGTTATACAAGCATTTATTCCACCTCCGCTAACTTCGTAGTAGTCACAGAGTTGTATATAAGTAAAAATACAACTCTGTGGTAGTAGTAGTCATACATGCATATTACATTGCCTAACCTACTTACATGTACTCCCGTCACAATTACTTTCCATTGTGGCTTTAGTAATGTTGACGATGAACTTCGTACAGATGTTGCAAATGTCTTTTCGAGGATAACCAAAGGAAATGTTAAATTCCTCAAACACCTTACTAAAAATTCCATAGGACACCTTAGTGTTGGGATATTTTTCATTTAAATGATCATGCAATTTAGTTATTGATAGATTAGGGTCATGATATTTTCTATGACGGCTATCAGATCTAGTGTAGTGGGATTCGCGAGCTGGAAGTTCTGTAATAAATTTGAGAGCTTCTTCTGGAGTTCTATTTGGCCTGGATGCGTGATGGCCTCGGTAGTCTGTTGGCTGAGCTCCAGGTCTAACTTTCGTTTCTAATCTAGATTTGAAAATCCCATGAATGGAAAAAAATGCCTTTTAACATAACACAATTTTCTTAGCATCGGATTTGACTTCATAGCAAAAGGTTGTACGCATTCGTGGATTTTCGTTATTACGTATGCGAGATCGGGACTTTTCTACTTTGTGGACACAACCTTGTAAGTAAACTGTTTGCTCAGCATGTGTAGATAGGCTACGATATCTTTCAAAGACTTCTCTTTGCTCCAATATACTAAGTTTATTGGCACATTTACACCTACAGTTGCCAATTCCGCGACATTCTTTTCGGCAAAAAGCCTCTTTTTTTAGGTGTCTTTTTCATTGTTGTGGATTACTAAGCCTTTTCTTACCTTTGACAGTGCCAGGTACATCCTCCGAATTGTTATGCAGGGTAGCTGCGGTTGTGTTTGGAAAACCTGCGCAGCCCCTGGATGTGCTCGGCTCAGAACCACCGGGTACAAGAAACTTTTTTAAGACACCTTTTGATTTTTGATGCATTGCCTCTATCATCTTCGTTAGGATCACACTCACTTCCTGAAGTTCTTTCTTCAGATGAAGAACTTGTCGCTGAAAATAAAAGACTTTATAGCCTAACGTGGTATGATGTCATAACCGGCAAATTAATAGGTTTCCCAAACCTACTCAGTTTTCGTTCAGTTTGACGATTATTACCGTTAAACTTGTCGATAAGATAATGTGATTATATACTTACCAGAACCAGACATTCTTCTATTATGCTACTAGAAAGATCTATAAACACAAATTGCCGCGGTTGCTGAGAATAAACAAAGCTTCACAACAGATTATAAACAGGAGTCAAGAAGTGGTTAAGGGGGGATTAACACCAAAATGTGAGGTTAATATAAATTCAAATTTCAAATGTACAAATTTCAAAATATTTTTACTTTTTTCGTAAAAGATAATTCGTAACACCTTCATCTGAGACAACTACGTGATGAGATACATATTTCGCATTAATACAAAAGAAAAAAAAATATTACGTAACCTTTAAAGGTACACCACTAAATAAATATCAAATAGTGTAGCAAACTATTAGTGTCTTGTCACAAGTAGTACCCTGAAGAATGATGTAGTATTTTGGTTTCGGATGAAACTTACTTATTTTTCAAGTTTTGTACATTTTAGTGCCTGATCGCTAAAATGTGAGTTGCCGCCATCAAATTCCACATGTTTTTCCTGTAATTTAATTTGTGGATTTCGTGTAAGATGGCGCTGTTAGCGTGTAGTTAAAGTCTGTATACAGTATGGACGTTTAGGTAACGCAGTGACCTATTAACGAAGAATAGCAACCTGTAATATACTTACATCAATTTATCACATGGATATTATCGCCAAAGGCTGACCTTGTTCTTAGAGATAAAGGTGGTGTTTTGTTTGTTATCATAATTAGATACGTCCTACATTATGCTACAAACAGGATTGTAATTTATTCCACAGATCATTTATTCTTCTTGGTTGCTCTGTCAAATTTTCAGGTATACAATACATCACCTGTTACTGGCTTTGTGTTTGGATTTATTTTGGGATTCTTATCAATACACTTGATTTATAGTGTGTATAATCAATGTCAATACTTATATACATAATATATTGGTCAACTTTTAATGCTCTGGTTTTATCAAGGTCCTTGGGTTTTATAGAAATATTTTATCATTAATGACCCTCGCGATCGTTTATAATTTCGTATTGCTGTCCGTCTGTCTGTCCCTGTGCACGATAACTTTGTGTAGAAACGTCCGATCGCTTTGAAAATAGACACACATGTTCTTCAGGATATAAGAAAGGTCCCTATTGTTTCGGCTATGTAGACTAACGGGCCAAAAAGTTACAACCCAAAAACTGCCCAAACCTACAAAAAAGGGTTCTGTTATAATTCTTGTTACAAAGAACATATGAATATCCGGTTTTCTGTGTTAGTAGATGAATTTTTAAAAAATTGCGCATGTGCAACCCAACTTTTGTATTTGAGCAATCCCATTTTTTTTATTTGTTATATTTAAATGAAATGTTGTATGTATATGCACCTCCCACCTCGTATAAAAGTAAAAGTAATGCTAATTCAAAAATTTGTTTTACAAGCTATGCTGATCTGGTGGAACCAGAGACTTGTTATAACTAGACCGCGCGTAACGTAGATTGTACTATAAACGCCTGTTGTCAAGATAGGATAGGCAACCAACTGTTCATCGCGGGGCAGACGTGTACGTTCTGCGGCTTGCTTTAGCCATGTTTATTGTAAATTTTAGTAGCAAAAAAAGATAACATATAGCTGTTAACTGTTTTAATCGAATTTATTGGTATTTTATTTGAACTAAATTGTTATATAACTGCCTTACTCTAGTCCTAATTTGATTTATATGTGTATTTTGGTGGTGAACACGTATCGGAAAATATACTCTTAAAACTAAAGATGTAAGTAGTAAGATATGATTATTTAGCGGATTTTGATTCAATATATGCCTATCCAAAAACCCAAATGGGCTGTAACTATTATTTATTTTTCTTAGACTGCTGATAACCATTTTGTTTACAACGCGGTGTGGTGTGGATTGAATGAAAAACCTGAACACATTTTCAGCAATTTGGCAAATTTTTAATG